AGCAGCGGCCCCGGCCCGGGGTTTGGCACCGGGGGCTCGGCGCGGGCGCCCCCACAGCCTGGCGAGAGCAGCAGCGCGCGGTCACCGTCCTCGCTACCGCGGACCCGGTAGGACACGGGCGTGGACTTCTTGCTGCGCTTCACCAGGAAGCCGCGGGGCATGTTGGCGCGGCGCGAGGGCGAGGCACTGGCTGCGTCCCACCTCCGCGTTCAGCCCCAGAGGCCCTTAATGCCCCCAGGCCATTGCCCGGGTTCGGCGGCTGCGGGGACTCGCGTGGCGCCGGAGACAGCTTGCCCGGCTGTGCGCCCTGCACGCGCGTCCCTGTCCCCGGGCCCGGGCGCCGCTCCCTTTTAACGGGGGGAGGGGGCCATTGTTCTCGCCTCCCGCTTCCCCCAGAACCAATCAGAACGTTCGCAGTTCCTCCTCCCGGTAGGGTGGGAGGGCGACCGAGCGGCAAAAAAAAAGGGGGCCGGGACTCGGGGGTCGCCCGGTAGGTGCGGCAGATGTACCTGAGGGCGCGGGGCCCCAGCGCGCGCCCCTCGGCCGCCCCGCCCGGCGCCGCCGCCCCGCCTGGCCCAGGCACACGCCCGGCCCCGCCTCCCTTCACGGTCTGCTGCTCTTCTATGGGGAGGCGCACGTGCCTGGGCTTTGTGTCTCTCCTCCGGGGGGCGCAGAGCCGCCAAATGGGCCCGTCCATCAGCACGACAATGCACGCCCCCCTCCCGCGCGGGGATTACTCGCGGGTCGCGAGCAAAATAGCAACAAAGGAGAAGAATGGCCCCAAATATGTCAGGAGGGTTCAACCCGCGAGCCAGAGCGGAGGGGAAAGTTGTGCTGTGCGCTCTGACGGGGTGGAGGCGGGGCGACCCCGGGGCTGAGGCTGCGTCGAGGTGGGAGCGGGCCCGGGGCGCGGGTGGAGGCGGAGTCCGCTTGGAGTTGAGGACAGGAGGGCAAGGGATGATAACTGTGAAGTCCCACTGGCCAAGATCCTGGCCGGTACCTTGGCCCGGTGGACCTCGGGCCCCCGGGGTTCTGAGTGTGGCTAGAGCGGACCCCTTGGCTACAGCCCAGGGCGAGTTCGTGCACGCGGTTGGAAGGATGGAAGCGTCCTCTCTCGAGGCTGAGAAACACTTGAAAGCACAGCATTTTTCCCTGGCCAGGCGGACTGGGACTGGGGTGGAGGAGGACAGGCTGGGTTCCAAAAGGAACTTGGATTGCTGAACTTTATCACGAACGTGCGTTCCCCTGGTATCCTGGGCCGGGGATGGGCATCCCCGCCGGGCCCTGGGCTCGGGCTTCTCGGTGCCTCCCAGGGCAGGGTTTATCCACATCGACTTGGCCGAACCTGCGGTCAGCACGGTGCGTGCTCCCGGAATGAAGTTGGTTTCCGCCTTCCCCGCGCTGCCTCATGCATTTTCATTCTGAGTGGGCATTTTGTCTGCCGGTTGACATCAGATGCTAAATCAAGGGCTCCAATCAAGGCGCTGCGGAATAAAGGGGCCGCCTGTCTGGGCGCTCCCCCCACCCTCTCCTCCATCTCTCCCCCAGCCATGCCCCCTTCACCTTTGTGAAGGAAATTAACCTCCAGCTATTGAGCAGCAGTCGCGGCCAATCTGGACGTAAAAGAGACGCGTGCTGCCGGCCAGGGAGGGGGGGGGGGAAGGGAGGCAATCTGTCCTCCAACGCAGGCTGCGGCCTCGCGCAGCACTGGTCTCGGCTCCCGCGCCACCAGCGGAGGGACACCTTCACCCCCCCCCCGCGCTGCCCCGCCTGGGCCTAGACCCCGCCGTCTTCTCCTTATCCAGCCCCCTTCTCGGCCTAGCACCTAGAAACAAAAGGTAGAATCTCTGGAGGAGACAAGGCAGAGAGCCCCGCCGCAGTGCCAGGGGCCCTGATCATCGCCCACCCCCTCGAAGACAAAAGTAGCCAAGCCATGGGAAGTGTCCTGTGTGGTGAGAAATGCCACTGTCGAAAGCGAGGGAAACATCTTTTTGTGCAAAAACAAAACCCTGTACACCAGATAGGCTTTGCTGATGCTTAATTCCACTGAAGGTATTTAATTGCCCCGGGTTTCCCCTCTGAAAAATACCCTGGCTTGGAAATGAAGACAAGTTTTTTGGTGGAATCCTGTTGTTAGGGTTAGTTACAAGCCAAGCGCTTAGTCAAGAGGAATAATGGTTGATGATTTTATGTTGGGATTTTTTTTTTAACCCACACGCCGAAAAGAGAAGAGAACATATAATGGAACATATTTTAAAGGCTCTCGTTTTTTAAATGATAATCGTGATGAGCAAACTAATCCTAAAAAAATTAAAAATTATAAAATGTAAAATTTGCCAAACACGATTCGATCTAAAAAGTCAACTGATGATACGTTCTTGCTCCTTTTGGGTGTTGATTAATACTGCTGATGAAATTAGAAGTGGGAAGGGATTCCGAGACAGCTTTGGCCAATTTTATTTTCTAATCAGGAATCCCATCTGGGTTGTGGAATAATAGGACGGGGAGGGGTGTGGGGGGGAGGTCGGCGGTCGATCCCACAACTACAGTGTATTTGGTCATGGGCACACAACACTGCGTTTTCATCCAATAGATAATAGGGAGAGTTCGTCTTCAAGTGAATCCTTACAAAACAACATTCAGAATTGTAAGGCAGGATACCACCACCAACTAAAAAATCCCGGACAGAAGGAAATAACCAGGGCTCTGAATTTAGTCCAATCTGTTGAGCTCTATTGATAGCATATCTACTAAGGTTCGATGGATACGGTTCTTTTTATTTCAGTCTTGCCAGCAGGGATGAGATCTGCTGCCTTTTGCTGCGTACCAGCCCACATTAGTGAAAACTCGAAGGGTATCAGCAGTTGAAACTGAGGACGAATTAGGCTGTGCGCGCACAGGCACACACCAGCTACTTTCCAGCAGACGCTGCCCTGCACCCGAAGTTGGATTTCTGCCTCCTTCGGTGTGATTTTCTTAGAATCTGAGCGCCCTATAGGATGGGGGCCTCCCGTCCTGGTATTTGTCTTCTCTGAAGAGCAAAGCACTCCCACACTAAGCCCCCCGGGGCCTGCCGTTAGGCACTGCCACACCAAGCAGGGACCACAGGAGGTGGGCTAGGGAAATTATGGAGCCTAAGTTTGTAGGGTGTGTGTGTGTGTGTGTGTCTGTCTGTCTGTCTATGTCACTAAAGTATCCCAAGCAAAATCGTGGTGTCCTTCCCCAGATTCAAGTCAGTTCCTTGCTTGCTTCCTTCCTTCCCTGTGTGGTGTAGACCAGTGATTTGAAGGGGTGGGGGGATCTCAGGGCCTTTTTGCGTCTTAGTCTCTGGCAGAGGATGGTGGGAGGGCTCCTCCTCAGAGGGCTGCGGGGGTGGCCAGCTCCGCTCCAGAGTCTTCTGTCCAGGGGTGCCAGGCTGGCATCCGTCACGCGGCCGAATTCCCTGGGAGTGCTAGCCCAGCTCAGAATCAAAGTTGAAGCTCCAAGGAGTGAATCTTAGAAGTGAGCGCTGAAGGCTAGGAGTTGGCTCCTTAGGGAACTTGAACTTACTAGAGAAGACCAGCCGGTCAGAACTCTCACCCAGCCCAGGCACGGGGGGGGGGGTGCGTGTGAGATTCCCCCTCTTCCATTCGGCAGCACACCTCCTCTCGGCTTAATGGAAGCCCCCTCCAGCACCCCTGGAACCCCAAAAGCGATGACCCGGCTGGAACAGCATGTTGCCCCCCGGTGCCCGCTGCCAGGTCCCCAAGGAGCCCCCAGCGCTCTGGTCCTCTCGGTGCGCGCCCGGCTTTGGGGCTTTGTGTTTGCAGGAATGAGGGGTTGTTGTGTTGGTCCCAGGGGCACGCGAGAGACACGCGCAGCCGCCCCGCCTGGCCACACTCGGGGCCTCCAGGCACCTTCCGGGGCCCCCGCCTGCGGGGCCCTTGCCTTTGTTCCGTACATTAGCATAAAGCTGCCACGGATCTCCCGTTTAAATAATTCCACACAAAGGGAGAGTGCATGAAAGAGAGCGAACAAGGGGGACTTCGCGGCCGCCGGTCCGCCGGGCTCTGGAGGGACCCCGCTCAAGTAGGTCCCTCCCCTGGAGTTTCAAGTGCCCCCCGGCAATCTGCTGCGCGCCCATTATGCGGCCGGGGTGGACCGGTGGCTTTTTTTTTTTTTTTGAGTGTGCCATTGGGGGTCACCTCGCGCTTCTTGAAGTGCCTTCAGGCCTGGGGTTTGTGTTTCTTCTTTGGCCTGGGCTGGGCGGCGGGAAGGGCAGTGCTGGCCAAAGCTGGCCAAAGCCAAGCCAGAGGATGTGGGGAAGCCAGCCAGTGAGAATGGGGTGGAAAGCGCGGGGCGGCACCCCCCAGACCCGCATCACATTGAACTTGGGAAACAAAGCCTGACTTGGGGAATCCACCCACAAAACCTGAGCCTAAGTGACCAGAAAGGCCATGCGCGCGCCCAAGCCTTCCGCACCCCCTCCACCTGATAGGAATCAGAAAGGGTGCCATTTGTTGCCTAGGCCTGGGCTCCTGCCCTTAGGTTCAGGGGGCGTGTTCTCCCCGGGATCCCCCCCACCCCCACCCCCAGCTGAGAACCAAACTCAGGGCCTTACACTTGCCAGGCTAGTGTGTTCCCCTGAACTGAATCCCCAACCCTGTGCACTCTCACACCAATCCTTTCCGCCAACGCTTCCTTCCCTCCATCTTGGTCCTCCAGGCCCATCCTTCCTCTCTAGGGGTCTTGCTCCCTCCTCTTTATCTCCTCCCATCTCTTCCTTTCCACCTTTCCCCTCCTGCTCCCCCTCACTTCCAGTCCTTCCGTCCTCTCCTCTCCCCTCTCCCAGTTTCTCTGTTTCATCTCCATCTCCTGCTTCTCTCTCTCCTCTCCCAACTATCTTCCCTCTCCCCCCTCCTTCTCCCGCATAGTCTTCTACCCACCTCCTCCCCCCTTCCCACAGGCCAACGTGTGTTATTTTATTTGTCTAGAGAGAGCCTATTTGTTCAGTGATGTGTGGCCTCCTGGTCGCCTGCTTTAATGGGGGACGCGGAGGCTTGGTTTCTGTGAGCATTAGCATACAGCTGCCGGGCTCTGTGCCCTGTCCCTGCGCTTACTTTATCCGGCCTTATCATCATGTCTCTCAACCAGAAAACAATCCACAGCTCTTCTCCTGGGTTCCTGGCTAACACTTGCTTACCCAAGTGCTCTTTCTCCCTCCCTCTCCCTTTCTCTCTCCCCCTCCTTCCCTCCCTCTCCCCCCTCCTCTTTTGCTTTTTCTCTCTCCTGCCCCCTTCCTTCTGCCTCTCTCCCTCCCTCTCGTATATTTTGGTTATTTTTTGGCATAGCATTTACTTCCCTCCTTTATTTTGTCGCTTATCAATAATACTATAAGAAGCCATTTTGGGGGAAGGAGGTAGCCATAGTGTTAATTTAAAATTTGGTATCTGTCAGTCTATCATTCCAGGCAGCAATGATGCATGTGATTTGGGGGAATGGAACTTTGTAAAATTGTTTTCATGGCACATATTTTGCTTAAAACGATGAAATTTCAAGATCAAAATGGCCGTGAATCAACAGCAAATGTTCAAATACAAAAGGATCTGGAGCCTTGGTTCACCTATCTTGCACACCCAGAAAGTCCAATTACTGGTCTTTTTAAAGCTTTTTCATTTGTGAAGACTGTCTTACCATCAACTTTATTATCCTAAAGTTCTTAAAATTGCCAATTTCAAGCTACGACTTGAATTCTAACTAGGAAAATTATTCTTCAGTGATAAAGCTCTGAAGTCTGCACATACATGCCACAACTGTTAGATTCAGGAAATCATTTAGGATAGTTGATAAAAATGTCCTAGATTAAATTTCCTAAGAATGGGACAAGGATGTAATAATGTCATCGGATGGAAACGCTTTGTAAGCAGAAGTATATGCAAGAGATTTAAAAAAATGCCACAGGCTTATGAAAGCCCAAGGCTTCCTTTTAAAAGAGGCAGCAGTGGAAAACTGTTATTAGCAAATTGATGCATGATTTGGTATTAAGGTTGACGTTGCCATTTGGGGTCACTTGTGTGTGACTAGAGGCTTTGTCATGGTAATACTTGGTCACAGAAGTCATAACTGTTGATCCTCTGGCTGAAGTTGTTCTGGTCCCCTTCACCTCAGCCTTCCTGGGGCTTGTCATAGAAATTCCATTTGCTGATGAGTTTGACCCAGGTCCTCTCAGGAAACGAATGAGAGTGGCCTGAGTGGACTGGGCTACCAGACTTTGAAATGTTGCCATGTGTGTGTTGTTTTTGAGTTCTGAGGCAGAGACCAGGAACAACTCTTCCCCATCCAATGACAGTTTGTATGGTATGGCCCAAACTGGGCCTCCCTACCTACAGGTATCTGTGTACAAAAAGATACCATCCCAATGTGTTTGGATACCCCATACATGTGAAGGAATTAGCAGCATTTATTGGTGGTTTTTAATCTGTCTTGGAGTCATCAGAGTCCAGTGTTCTGGGATGTTTTTGAGAAGCATCAGACAACTTGATAGTTCCGAGTCCTGTAGTTTTGCAGCAGTGATTTGTGTCTTTTGGCTCTGATTTTCAGTAGCTTGGTAATCTGTGTCAGTGTGCCCACTTTTGCAAAATGCTAGCATAGAGACAGGTGCCAGTGGTTCAAGGCTGTAATCCTAGCTACTCAGGAGAGTAAGATCTCAGACTTGCAGGTCAAAGCCATTCTGGCCAGGAAAGTCAATGCGACTCCTATCTCCAAATTCATCAGTAAAAACCCAGAAGCAGAGCTGCGGCTCCAGTAGTATAGTGCTAGTCTTAAGCAAAAAAGCTAAGGGACAGTGCCCAGGCCCTGAATTTAAGTCCCAGTACAAGCGCGTGTGCGCGCACGACCGCACGCACACACACACACACAAATGTTAGCATTGATTTTTAAGAGTGTAATTGGAAATTGTGTTCATGGGAACCAATTGTAAGCTCTGCTGTTAGTCAAATAGTTGTGCCACACTATAAGGAGATATCAAAATACATGTAAACAATCTAATGTGTTGTTCCTGAATTCATGTGATTTTTAGAGAGTAACTGCTTATGAGAGAAGGTTTCTTAGCTACATTATAGGTGACAGGTACCAGGGGACCCCCTAACCATCCAGAAAAGCAACATTGTTCAGGATCAAAGAAAAGGTCCTAATTTCCCAGTATTATTTTCAATCCCAAAATCTATGTGAGTTTTTGGTTTCCAGTCTGTATTTTTATGCTCATGATCATCAATAGGAATAAAGAATTATAGAGTCTGAGATATTAGTCTCTTTGGTTTCAAAAGGTCGTGCAAGTTTTTTCTACCTAATCAGTCTTTCTGATGTTGGGCTACAGAGTTCATTTCTTATCATCTGTTTACTAATTTTCCATTCTTTTTAATCATCTTCAAGTATTGAGCAAATACCCGGAGGACTTATCAAAATTGGTCTTGGGCAGTCCCAGGAAATCACACAGAATCACACAAGGTAAAAGCAATTTTTATACAGTATGATCTCGTTTTTTTTATTGCTAAAGTGGATTATTATACACAGGAAAATGCCTGGTATTTATAAAGTTCCCTGTCCCAGAATAGAGATCTACAGCTGAGCGCCACCTACTGGAGCCAGAGGAAACTACAAGGCTAAGTAGAGGCAGAAAGGCATTAAGGGAACCAAGCTGGCATTTGATTGTGAAGCCAGGCTTAGGAGAACTTTTCTATTTCTAAAGAATACTTCTAAGAACTAACTGTATAGAAACAAAAAAATGGAGACCCTGGAAACGCTAAATGATGCCCGGCCACGCATACATGGGCAGGTGGTAATAATTGTAGTGCAGGTACTCCAGGATGCTCTTCTCCACCAGGCTTTTGTAGATGGAGTCCTCAAAAACTCTTTTGAGGTATTCCCTGGGCTTCTCAACCAGGCTTATTTCCTCATCTTCTATCTTATGGGCTAGCTGCTCCATGGAAAGGAGTCCTTCCTCCTGTGAATGAATACAGTAAGGCCAGAACTCAGAAACTACTTGTACTTAACACCACAATCAACAGGGCAGGCTTTCTAAAAATAAAACAGAACATAGTGTTCAGCTCTTCAAGGTGTGCCCCCCCCTTTTTTTTAGCTTTTTGGATATTATTTTTTAAGTTGTGTCACAGTATATATCATGAAATTTCTTTCTTTAGCATTTTCAGTGTATAAGGGAGTGGGGATCAATTCCCACTGATTATCACTACTATCTACCTCCTGAATCTTTTGGTCTTCCCCAACTCTGTCCCCCCTGAATAATAAACTCCCCTAAACATTCTCTCCTGGCCACCACTACTGTACTTCACGTCTCTCTGGGAACCTTGGCTGACCTGAGTCATGCAGGGTTTGTTGTTTTGTGATTGTTTCTATCACAGCATAATGCCACCAAAATGACCTTATTTTAAGTCCTTCTTTTATTCCAAATACAAATCATACGTAGGTCTGGCCTGCCTTAAAAAATAAAAAGCCCAGTGCAGGTTTGTCATGCCTGTAATCCTAGCTACTTGGGAGGCTGAGATTTGAGGGTTGTGGTTCAAAGCCAGCTCAGGCAAGAAAGTCCATGAGATTCTTTTTTGTTTTTTTTGGGTCCGGTCGTGGGACCTGAACTCTGGGCCTGGGCGCTGTCCCTCAGCTCTTCAGCTCAAGGCTAGCGCTCTACCACTTGAGCCACAGCGCCACTTCCGGCTTTTTTCTTTTTGCTTATGTGGTGCTGAGGAATCGAACCCAGGGCCTCGAGCATGCAAGGCAAGCGCTCTACCACTGAGCCACCTTCCCAGCCCTCCATGAGATTCTTATCTCCAATTAACCACCAAAAAGCTGTAAGTGGAGCTGTGGCTCAACTAATAGAGCACTAGTCTTGCGCGCAAAAGCTCAATGACAGTGTACAGTGTAGTGTTCAAGCCCCAGGAACGGCAGGAAAAAAATAGTCATTAAACCTTTGTGCTTAAAGTCTCTAAGGGATAGGATCTAAAACCATAATTTTAATTTCTTAGTACAAATTTAATTGGCATCTGTAGTATAGGGATCAGAAAGAAAAAAAAAGTTGTTTTTTAAAATATCGAGATAGAATTTTCCTAACATTTTCTAGGTGAGGAGGGCAGGCCTGGGTACTGTCTCTGAGCATTTGCTCAAGGGGCTGAACCACAGCTCCACTTAATCTTTCTGGTGATGAACTGGGGATAAGGATCTCATGGACTTTCCTGTCTGGGCTCGCTTCAAGCTTTGATCCTCAACTCTCAGCCCCTCAAGTAGAGGATTACAGGCATGAAACACTGGCACCTAACTTGTTTTCTTGATGACTGCTATTCTGACTGGATGAGATGGAATCTTAGTATAGTTTTGATTATTGCTAAGGATGCTGAACATTTCTTCATGTATCTATGAGCCATTTGTGTGTCTGATTCTGAGAACTGTCTGTTCAGTTGTCCATTTTTAAAATGGGTTATTTTCCTGTTTTTCTTTTACTTCTTTCTGTATTCTGGATATTAATCCTTTATCTGGTAAATATTTTCTACTGTTCTGTGACTTATTGTGTATGTGTGTGTGTGTATGTATGTGTGTGTGTGTGTATGTATATCTGTTTGCTATACAAAACATTTTGGATTTGATATAGTCTTTTTTTGGGGGCCATAGTGGGGCCTGAACTTGGGGCCTAGGCGCTGTCCCTCTGCTCTTCAGCTCAAGCTACCACTTGAGCCACAGCACCACTCCCAGCTTTTTCTGCTAATGTGGTGTTGAGGAAAATCAAAGCGCTTCATGCATGCAAGGCAAGCACTCTACCACTGAGCCACCTTCCCAGCCTTGATTTGTTGTAGTCTTATTTGTCAATTCTTACTCTTATTTTCTGGAGTACTATTCAGAGAATAATTACCTGCACCAGTATCTTCCAAAGTTTTGCCGATAGCAGTTTTTTATACAGAATGAGAGAGAGATCTAGTTTTCATCTCCTGCAAGTAGTTATCCAGTGTCCCAGCACAATTAATTGAAGAAGCTGCTTTTTCTCCAATGTATGTTTTTGGTCTGCTTGTCAAAGACCTAATAGTTATAGCTGTGTGGTTTTATATCTGGATCTTTTATTCTGTTCCACTGGTCTTTATGTCTGTTTTTGTGCTAGTGCTATGGTGTAAAAATTTCCTTCTCTTTCAAGGTTGAATAGTATTCTACTGAGAGTACTCACTACATTATTTTTATCCATTCATCCATTTGGGCCACTTATGCTGTCTCCATATCTTGGCTATTAATGTTTCAATGACACAAGAGGATAGATGTCTCTTCCATACATTTATTTCCATTGCTTTTTACCTAAAAGTGGGGTGCTGGATCAGATAGCAAGTCTATTTTAAAACTTCACACTGGTTTTCAAGAGTTTTCTTTCCTTCTTGTCCTTGCCAGCATTTACTATCTTTTACTGTTTTTTTTAATAGCTTAGTTATTTGGGAGATGTGTGCTTACAATTTATTCCTATTACCTTCAATGTTTCTTTTTTGGTGGTGCTGGGATGGAATGTAAGGCCTTGCTCCTGCTAGACAGGTGATCTACCCAGCCTTCTTGCCCTTTTTAATAGTCATTCTAAAAGGTATGTAATGATAGCTTGATGTTCTTTAGTTTACATTTTCCTGATGACTAGTGATATTTTCATTTACCTGTTGGCCATTTGTCTTTTTTTTTTTTTTTTTAACAAATAGTATCTGTTCAGGTCCTTTGCCCACTTTTAAATCTGGCTGTTTATTTTCCTGCTACTGAGTTAGGTGAGTTCTTTAGATAGTTTGGATACTAATTCATCTGATGATTTGCAAATATTTTGCCCTATTCTAAAAGCTGTCTCTTCTTATATGTTTTTTAGTTTGATGCAGACCTACTTCATTTTTGCTTTTGTTCCCTGTGCATTTGATGTTGCATTAAAAATATCCATGGGACGGCCAATATCAAGGAGTTTCCCCTGTGTTCTACAGTTTTTGTTTTTGTTTTTCTTACTATTTCTAGGTCACATTAAGGCTTTAATTCATTTTGAATTGATTCTTGTATAAGGGTTTTGGCTCTTACCATAACCCAGGCTAGCCCGACTATAAGCTACCACCACGGGAGGGCCTTGGATCTTGCCACGTCTCAGGCCAAAGCCACCTTTCTCAGCCCACCACTTAGAAGAAGGTCTGGCCTGTTTCAAAGAAACCAATCATAATCTGACAGACTGGCTGAAGAGAAGAAAGGGGAGGAGGGCAGATGCAACATAAAATCAGCAGCCCAGAACTAAAGGCTGCGATGAAAGGATTCCAGGTTACTTTCTCTTTACTAAATAAGTTCTTTAAAACTGTGTGCCTTGTTCCTGATGATTATTTCTGTATTTTAAAGAACAAGAACCCACCATGCTCATGTCTTGTTCATCAACTATAAAATGTGTTGATTTATCTCTAGGATATCCATCCTATTCAGTTGCTCTTTTTTATACCAAGACTATGCTATTTTGATTGCTGCAGCTTTGTAATATATTTTGAAAACACGGAGCATGTCACTGCCAGCTTCGTTGTTCTGAAAGGTTGTTTTGGCAATTTGGGATATTTTGTGGCTCCATACAAATATAAAGTTTTTTTTTTCTATTTCTGTAAAAAAAAGTCACGGTAATTTTGATAGGGATTGCATTGAATCTGTGCATTGCTTTGGTCAATAGGACCCTTTAAAAATTTTTTTAAATTGCTATTATAAAGGTGATGTACAGAGAGGTTATAGTTGCATAAATCAGGTACAGAGTACATTCTTTTTCTGCTTGTGGGGCTTAAACTCAGGGCCTAGGCTCTGTCTCTGAGCTCTTCTGCTCAAGGCTAGTACTTTACCACTTTGAGCCACAACTCCACTTCCAGTTTTTTGTTTTTGTTTTGTTTTTGAGTTTTTTGGAGTGGTTAATTGGAGATAAAAGTCTCATGGGGAATTTTCTGCCTGGCTCCAAATCTCAATCCTCAGATCTCAGCCTCCTGAGGAGCTAGGGATTACAGGCGTGAGCCACTGGCACTCGGTAACAGTATATTTCCTTTTGGACTGTGTCACCCCTTCCCTCACTATAAGGACTTTTTAACAACATTTATTCTTCTAAACTCTATTTGCTTGTGTTATCTTCAATTTTTGAATTATTTTTAATCCCAACTCTTTATTTTCATTGAATCTGAAGCTTAGGAAGGTCTAGCTGCCTAGTAGCTAGAGGAAGAGGTGCAGGCAGCAGCCCTGACCTCAGAAGATACCGAGTGGCCTGCAGGCAGCTGGGCCCTGGGGCTTTCAGTCAGGTATAACTTAAGCCTCTGAAGAGATACCTGCAGGCCAGGCCAGGGACCTCCAGCCCACTCAGGCCAGGTGGCTGCTATCCTTTTCATGAGCTTCCCTTCACCATTCAGGAAGTTGCTCTGGGGTGGTCTACATGGCCCCAAAGAGCATGGCCTATGACCTTACATGATGACTTAACCAGTCCAGGGTTTTATTGTATTTAACTTGATGTGGGACATGAACATCTTGCAAGAGGGTTGTCAACTGTGTTGTTGCTCCTCCTTCAAGAGATGCTGGGAGAAGAGACCACCGCATCTGGAGCTTCATGACTGAGAGGACCGTAGAATAATTCGGATGGATCTGGGAGGCTATAGTTGGTGGGCAGTAAGAAGCTCACTATAATAAAAGGTATAGCTGGATTTGGAGGCAGGAGCTGGAGAGGAGATATTTAGGTTGCTGCTTCTTTCTAGCAATTCTAAATAGTGTTGCTTTGAATATTTATGAAACAATAATCATTTGAATGGCTCTTTCTAATCTTTAGGATATAAAATTAGGAATAAAATTGCTAGGTCAGGGGCTGGGAATGTGGGTTAGTGGTAGAGTGCTTGCCTTGCATGCACAAAGCCCTGGGTTCCATTCCTCAGTACCACATAAGCAGAAAAAGCCGGAAGTGGTGCTGTGGCTCAAGTGGTAGAGCGCTAGCCTTGAGCA